AGCAGCAGCAGCATTCATCATGTGGACCTGGAGCAGGACCTCAAACAACAGGCTTGGGCCTACTTGGACAGCACCCTGCCAACCGAGGTAGACAATCCCCTGACTACTGGGCAACGAAACTTGACCTTTGGCCCCAACTAGCTGAATTTGCCCTTGAAAGGCTGTCATGCCCGGCCAGTAGCGTGGCATCGGAGCGCGTGTTTAGTGCGGCAGAGGTATTGTAACTCCGCGAGGACACGACTGTCCACCCAAAGTGTGGAGAGACTCACGTTTGTGAAAATGAATCAGGCGTGGATTAGTCTGGATTTCAAACCACCAGTTCCTGAGACACAACTGACTAAATCCGCCATGAATCATGCCCCAAAAACATGTGCCACTTTCAGGTCTCCTCACACTGCTGGTGTGTTCCAGGTTTTTTGTGTCATAGGGTGCTGGCAGATTACGGCCTCCCATAGCTGCTGCCAGGCCCCTAATCTGCCATGGGCCCCTGTACCGCCTCCTCATGCTGCTGCCAGGTCCAGAGTGTCTCATGGGTCCCTGTACGGCCTCCCATTGCTGCTGTCTCCATCGCCACACACTCTGCCCATGTGCCACTTTCAGGTCTCCTCACACTGCTGGTGTGTTCCATTTTTTTGTCATAGGGTGCTGGCAGATTACGGCTCCCATATGCTGCTGCCAGGCCCCTAATCTCCATGGGCCCTTGTACCGCCTCCTCATGCTGCTGCCAGGTCCAGAGTCTCTCATGGGTCCCTGTACGGACGGCCTCCCATTGCTGCTGTCTCCATCGCCACACTCTGCCATGTGCCACTTTCAGGTCTCCTCACACTGCTGGTGTGTTGTTCCCATTTTTTGTCATAGGGTGCTGGCAGATTACGGGCCCCCATAGCTGCTGCCAGGCCCCTAATCTGCCATGGGCCCCTATACCGTAACCCGCCGCCTCCTCATGCTGCTGCCCAAGGTCCAGAGTCTCTACTCATGGGTCCCTGTACGGCCTCCCATTGCTGCTGTCTCCATCGCCACACTCTGCCATGTGCCACTTTCAGGTCTCCTCACACTGCTGGTGGGTTCCATTTTTTGTCATAGGGTGCTGGCAGATTACGGGCCTCCCATAGCTGCTGCCAGGGCCCTAGTAATCTGCCATGGCCCCCGTACCGACTCCTCATGCTGCTGCCCAGGCCCGTAATCTGTCATGGGCCCCTGTTTTGTCGCCTCCCATATCTGCCGCTCGTTCAGATGCTCCTTCTCCTGCTACTGCCCTCTTCAGGATTCCGTCAGCAGTCTTTCTTGGAATCCGTTTCCAAGAGACAACATTTTTGCAATAGCACGCACCCGACGGGGCAGAAGCTGAACGTCCTCCTGTCCAAGTTGCTGCTGCCAGGCTCGTAATCTGTCATGCGCCCCTGTACCGCCTCCTCATGCTGCTGCTGCCAGGTCCAGAGTGTGTCATGGGCCCCCGTACCGACTCCTCATGCTGCTGCCACAGGCCCGTAATCTGTCATGGGCCCCTGTACCCACCCGCCTCCCCATGCTGCTGCCAGGTCCAGAGTGTGTCATGGGTCCCTGTACGGCCTAGAACCCATTGCTGCTGAGCCAGGCCCCGTAATCTGCCACGGGCCCCCGTACCGACTCCTCATGCTGCTGCCAGGCCCGTAATCTGTCATGGGCCCCTGTACCGCCTCCTCATGCTGCTGCCAGGTCCAGAGTGTGTCATGGGTCCCTGTACGGCCTCCCATTGCTGCTGTCTCTATCGCCACACTCTGCCATGTGCCACTTTCAGGTCTCCTCACACTGCTGGTGGTTTCCATTTTTGTCATAGGGTGTGCTGTATGGCCTCCCATTGCTGCTGCCTCCACCGCCACACTGTGGCTCCAACACTCTGGTTTTGGCCCCGTGACTGCCCAAATGGAGTGAAGTGTGCGGTGATTCTAAGATCGACGGCACTCATCTGCATGTCATACTGACTGACAGTATTATTTCTCTTCCCCCCAGCAGACTCCAAGGGCATTTAAATTAAAGGTACAGTGTTCTGCACTAATATTAAGTCTCTCTGAAGCCTAGAAACACCCTTTTTTAAGTTAAATTCACAGCGAATATATTCGACTCGAATCGAAATTTTTCCACGAAATTCGCCGAATCAGTCGAATCGAATTTTTGAATACTTCGCTCATCTCTAATTGTTACCAACAGTGCTTCACCAGTCACAATTTTATAGTAAAATCTCAAACTTGTATAACATCTCACCTACAATTTGCCAGAAGGCACCTTCAAGACACTGAATGACACCGACAGAAGGTTCTATGGTCCCGATAAGACCCAAAATTGAGCTTTGTGGTCATCAGATCCTCGCCCAAACACTGCAGATAATTAAAACATGTCATTCCCACGTGAAGAAGACAGCAAAATATAGGGAAACCCTAATGCAGTCTGCAAGAAACTTTAATTATAAGGTCATTAAACCACACAAGACAACAAAAGAGTTTTGTAGCTGGACTTGAAAAAAGCTGTTCACTCTCATCTCCATGCAATCCCATGCAATCCCTGACAGAGCTGGTGATGTATTTGAATGAGGAAAATGTGCAATATCCAGAATTCAAAAGAAACCTATCACCCTTTAAAGACTTACCACATTTTTTTTATTCCATAAGACACACCTGACCATAAGACGCACCTAGATTTTGGAGGGAGGAAAACAAGAAAAAAAAAATTCTGACCCCAATGGACTGCGGACATAGTACAGCGAAATGACCAGAGACTCCAGACATAGTACAGGAGATGACCAGAGATGGCGGACATAGAGTACAGGAGATGACCAGAAACTGCAGACACAGTACAGGAGATGACCAGAGACTGCAGCACATACTTACAGGAGTTGACCAGAGACTGCGGACATAGTACAGGGAGATTACCAGAGACTGCAGACATAGTACAGGAGATGACCAGAGACTGCAGACATAGTTCAAAAGAGGATGACCAGAGACTGCGGACATATTTTAAACAGGAGATGGCTAGAGACTGCGGACATACTACACTGGGGATGACCAGAGACTGCTTGGACCATTCTACATGAGATGACCAGAGACTGCGGACACAGTAACAGATAGATGACAAGACTGTGGACATAGTAACAGGAGATGACAAGAGACTGCGGACATACTACAAGGGATCACCAGAGACTGCAGACCTATGGGGAGGGGATACCCGAATTTGACAGGTACTCGATCCCAACTTCCACAGAGTTGTCCTCCCCCCTCCCTCCCCCGTAGTCTTTTGGCACACGTGACAGGTCCCACAAGACTAGGAGGCCATTCACGAAGCGCAGCACTTTCTTGCGCACTGAAGATGCTGGCGCCAGGGAGAGAAGACGGTCGGTGAAAGCAGGACCCCAGTGGACACAAGGAACAGGTAGGACTGAAGGAGCAGGTTTTTCTGCACAGTGTAGAGCCGAGCAGCCGGCCCGGTATTCTAAGACGTGGTCAACGGGGGGAATACGGGGCCAGCCGCTCCATACTTCGTTCCATAAGACACACAGACATTTCCCCCCATTTTTTGGGGGGCAAAAAAAGTGTGTGTCTTATGGAGCAAAAAATACGATAAAATTTCCAGTAGTGCAGCTAATAATCTGACTTGAAGGGGGTTGTATACCTGTTTATTCTTGTTATTTTGTGTTTTTTATTGTAATTGATTACAATCACTTTGCAGAGATTTGTTTCAGTTTTGATATGAAAGATTTTATTTTTTCTTGATTAATGTATAAAATAAAATGTACCTATCTATCTTGTTGAATCTATGTCTGGGGATGACCTGCTCCAGATAAGCAGAGTCAGAAGTGTACCACGATACAAGACTGTGCCCATCTAAGAGTGTTATTTAGATATACATATTCCGAAAAAAAGAATCATTGTTGCAAGACAATATTTATGAAATAACCCTTGTTTGCCCTTAAAAAACAATATATGTATTACCTTGTTATGTTTATGTATTGACCAAACATAGGTATTTGCCAAATAAAGAGCTTCATAGCAGAATTGAAAAATTGCTCTAGACCAGTGATGGCGAACCCCGTGGCACGCTGTGCCACAGCCGGCATACCGGGCCGAGCCTTATCTGTGGGCACATCCAGGAGAATTCCAGCGGCGCGCTGTCTTCCCGGCTGTATTGGTGCGTGACAGCCGGGTCCCACGTTTGGTGCGCATGCACAAGAAAGCGCAGTGGCTCTTTGTGCAGGAATGGTAAAGGCGGTATACCTACAGGATCGAACATGACAGATCCCAGAAGAGGAAGCCGCCGGACCAATCACAAAGCGCAGCGCTTCTCCGCGTCGCATGCGCACTGGGCATCCGGCTGTCCCGACGAAGCGCCCACACTCTACAGAAGCCGGGAAGACAGCGCGCAGCTGGGATAAAGGATACAGTGTAAGATAAAAAAAAAAACTCTGCGGAAGTAAGAGCGGGTACCTGTCAAAATTCAGGTACCCGCTCCCCCTCCCTCCCCAAGTCGTCAGCAGTCATACTTTCTCTGTACTGTCCGCAGTCTCTGGTCCTCCCTGTTGCTGTCCGCAGATTCTCTGGTCATCCCTGTGCTGTCCGCAGTCCTCTGGTCATCCCTGTGCTGTCCGCCAGTCTCTGGTCATCCCCCTGTACTGTCCGCAGTCTCCTGGTCATCTCCTGTACTGTCGCAGTCGCTAGTCATCCTGTAGCTGTCCGCAGTCATCTGGTCATCCTGTGCTGTCGCAGGTCTCTCTGTCATCATCTGTTACCTGTGTCCGCAGCTGTCATCCGCGTACTGAGTCTCGCAGGTCTGGTATCTCCTGTACTGCTGTGTCCGCAGTCTCTGGTCAATCCCTGTTACTGTGTCCGCAGTCTTCTGGTCATCACTCTCCTCTCTGGTATCCCTTGTGTCCGCAGTCTCTGGTCATCCCTGTACTGTGTCCGCAGTCTCTGGTCATCCCTGTACTGTCGAAGTCCGCAGTCTCTGGTCCGCAGTCATTCCCCTGTACTGTCCGCAGTCTCTGTGTCATCCCTGTACTGCTGTCCGCAGTCTCTGGTCATCCCTGTACTGTCGCAGTCTCTGGTCATCCCCTGTACTGTCCGCAGTCATGGTCATCACCCTGTACTATGTCCGCAGTCTCTGGTCATCTCCTGTATACTGTGTCCGCAGTCTCTTGGTTCATCATAACTGTACCTTGTCGCGCGTGTCTTATGGTCATCCTCTGTACTGTGTCCGCAGTCAACTGGTCATCCCTTGTAAGTCGCTCCGCAGTCTATGGTTCATCTCCTGTACTGTGTACGCAGTCTCTGGTCATCGTCCTTGTACTGTTCGCAGTTCTTGTCGGTCATCTCCTGTACTGTGTCCGCAGTCTCTGGTCATCTCCATGATACTGTGTCCGCCGTCTCTGGTCAATACTCCTGTACTCGTTCCTCTAGTCTTGGTCATCTTGCCTGTACCTGTCCGCAGTCTGGGTCACATTACTGTACGTGTCCGCTAGGTACTCTGGTCATCCATTTGTTACTGTTAGTCCGTCCTAGTTCTCTGGTCATCTCCTGTACTGTGTCCTCTAGTCTCTGGTAATCCTGTACTGTCCGGCTGTCTCTTGTCATCTCTGTACTGTGGTCCGTTGGTGCCAGTCTTCAGGTCAATCCCTGTACTGTGTCCGCAGTCTCTGGTCAATCCCTGTATGTCCGCAGTCTGTTCATCCTCTGTACTGTTGTCCGCTATGTCTATTGGTACATCTCCTGTATTGTCTGTCGAGAGTCTTGGTGCATCCCTGTACTGTTCCGCAGTCTTTTGGTCTTTTCCCTTTTACTGTTTTTCCGGGAGTCTTGGGCATCCCGGGAAATGTGTCCGCAGTCTCTGGTCATCCCTGTTTCTGTCCGCAGTCTCTGGGTTTCCCTTTTACGGGTTTCCCCAGTCCCCTTTGGGCATCCCCTGGGACTGTGTCGCGTCCCCTGGTTTTTCCCCCGTACGTGTCTGCGTCCCCTGGTCATCCCTGTACTGGGGTCTGCAGTCCCCTTGGGCAAAACCCCCGTCCCGTGTCCCCCAAGGGCTCTGGTCTTTCCCTGTACCCGTCCGCATTTTTGGTCATCTCCTGTAAATGTGTTCCCCCAGTCCCCTGGTCATCCCCGTTTTCTGTCCGCGTCTCCCGGTCTCCCCGTTTCTGTGCTCCCCAGTCTCTGGTAAACCCTGGGAAATGTGTCCGCAGTCTTGGCATCTTTCCCGTACTGGTGTCCACAGTCCTGGTCAAACCCTGTAAATGGGCCCCCAGTCTTTGGTCATCTCCTGTTTTCTGTGTCTGCTGTCTTTGGTTCACGGTAAAGTGTGTCGCAGTCTACTGGTCATCGGTTCTGTCCGCAGTTATCTGTTCATCCCTTTGTACGGTGTCCGCGAGTCCTTGTGACATCCTGTACTGTGTCCGCAAGTCTCTGTGGTCATTCCTGTACTGTTTTGTCCGCTGTCTCTGGTCGATCCCTGTACTGTCCGCAGTCTTTCTGGTCATCCTGTATAGTCGCCGTGTCTTGGTCATATCCTGTACTGTTGTACGCTCGTGTCTTGGTCATCCTGTGTACTGTGGTCCGCAGGTCTTCTGGTCATCCCTGTACTGTGTCCGCATGTCTCCCTGGTCATACCTGTTCTGTGTCCGCAAGTCTTACTTGGTTCAATCCCTGTACTGTCCGCAGGCTCTGGTATCCTGTTTATGTCGCAGTCTCTGGTCATTCCCAGTACTGTTAGTCCGCAGGCTTTGGTCGTTACCTGTACGGTCCGCCTTCTTGCGTCATTCCCTGTACTGTCGCAGTCTCTGGTCATTCCGTGTACTGTTTGTCCGCAAGTTTTGGTCATGCCGCTGCGTACTGTGCTGGCAGTCTTTTCTGGTGCAATCACTGTGAACTGTTGTCCTCTCGCAGTCTCTAGGTCAATCCCTGATACTGTTAATATCGTTTTGCACATACTTTACGCGTTGTTTTTTCTAAACCTAAGCTCGATATTCAGGTTTCATTGCAGTGTTGGCACTTTGAAAGAAATAGTTGGCAGTTTTGGGTTGCAGTTTGGATGGGCTCAAAAAGGTTCGCCAGCACTCGCTCTAGTTCCATTGGGGGGTGACAGGTCGTGAGAGGAAAAGTTGGTAAACCTTATGCATAATGTGATTTTTTGATTTTTTTGGTAATATTTTGTGATGCATGTTTTCTTGTTTATTAAATTTCTTTTGTGCATGAAGAGCCACAAAAACAGGCTGACAGGGTTTTTTAAAATTTCCTTTTCCCCTTGGAAAGTTTTTTAAACCCTGATAGAGGTGGGCTACTTTGGAAGGGGGGAAAGGGGGCCCCCCATCCACAATTTCAAAAAAAAAAACTATCAAAACCCATTTTAAAAGGGC